CTTGTTAATTTCAATGAATATTATGTTGAAAATTTTCACAGCAGGTTACATGCTAATATTAATGTAAATCAAAATGCAGAATCAATTATTAATCAGGCATTTGTAATTGATAAGTTCAAAAATATATATACACACACACTACCCATACAAAAGTTTGTGAATGATGTTTTTTGTTAATTACGCAAAATGCTACATAATAACAACACATAAAATTTTAACATTATATGGCCTATGTTCTTGTTCGTTTTTGTATAAAATTTGATGTATTTTGTATTTCTAGTACTTTATTAATTAAAAAAAACGAAATACTTTTTTTTGAAAGATCATCAAAAAGTTAAAATTGAATTTTTTTGCAAATCATGATTTTAGAAAAAAATAATAAAGAAATAAAATTTAGATGCATATTTTTATTATGAGAATTTTTGAGAAACTGTAAACATTTTAAAATTTAATCAAAAAAATTTTTTTTTAATTAATAAAGTACTAGAAATACAAAATACATCAAATTTTATACAAAAGCGAACAAGAACATAGGTTGTATAATGTTAAAATTTTATGTGTTGTTATTATGTAGCATTTTGTGTAATTAACAAAAAAATCATTCACAAACTTTTGCCTGGGTAGTGTGTGTGTGTGTATATATATATATGTATATATATAATACAAACATTAAGAAAATGAATTATTATTTTTTAATGAACTCCTTTAGATTCCTATAAATCAGTTTTTGTTGATACATTTAAAAAACCATATATTTACCCATATAAGCCTAATCAGCTGGAATTTCTTGTTAAAAAAACCAGTATTTTTGTTATCTTATTTCCAAGAAATATTGGCAAAAGTTATATGCTTCAACCTGATCAAGTTAATCCACCTTTTTCAAAGAAATCACCCCATATTATTTAGCTTCACTTAATTGCATTGTGGATATAAAATGCTTACCAACTGGTTATCATACATAATGTATACCATCTCTTAATATTTGTGATCATTGTAAAGAAGCATTTTCTAATAATCTTGATGATGTAATAGTTTTAATTAGTGAATATGGTTATCATTTAACATGTTATAACACATTAGAAAGAGTCTGTAGATACTGTGAAAATTATTATAAAAAAAGGAATTGATGAAAATGTTAAAAAGTTTGTAAAAAATTTAAATAAAAACAAGAACACAATTACAGAAGATAT